CTAGAACCTATCTGCTTTACCTAAAGCCCTAGTATAGAATTCGTTTAAGATATTAGCCTGCTGCTAGGTTATTTTCCGGTCTAGCAAGGTATTGCTATATAACTAGTATATATCTCTTAAGATAGCCTTAGCTGCAACTAAGATTTAGATAAGATTAGGATCCTTAGCATTCTTATAACCTATATTAAGCTCTTTCTTTAGTAGCAGCTTATATAAGCTCTAGATCTCCTTATCCTTTAGCGTGGCTAGGTAAGATAGGAATCCTATTAAGTTATATAGCCATAGCACCTATTCTAACCTTAAATCTCTAATATCCTAGACTATAGTTGCTTGCTCCTTAAGATTATATTTTATAGCCTTGAAATCTCCCTCTAGCTTCTTAAATAATTCCTTCTCTAGCTCTACTAATAGAATAGAACCTGTAGTAGCCCTTAACCTACTAACTCTATCTTTATTATCCTTAACTATAAAGTAATTAATCCGGCCTTTCCTAGTAAAGTAGGTTTATAGCTTATATTCTTTCTATAACAGGCTACTCTTATAAGGTTTTGCTTTTATCTTATAATAAGAAGCCTAATACTTCTTTATCTTAGAGAGAAGGCGGGTACTATAGCTATAGTGCAACTGCAGATAGTAAACGCCCTTATAGCTAGCTAAATGCTTAATCAGCTAACACTTATCTTCCGGCTAAGGCTTATACTCTCTTAGCTCTATAACACTCCTTAGGTTATAGCTGCTAAGAAGCTCTACTATCGCCTTTAGCACCTCACCTAAGAGTTAGTATAGCTGCGCTTGCAGGTGCTACTCTTAACTATAAGTCCCTAGGACGATATAGGACTTGCAAATATAGCAGACGGCAACCCTATAAGTCAAATTATATAAGAATATAATAAGGAGCTCGCTAGGAGATAAGTAGACGCTAGTTAAAAGGGGGGTAGGGGGAATAGTCTTTTACCGAAATAGGCTTTTACCAGAAAGTGCCTTAGTCAGCCGCGCCCGGACCAATCCGCGTGCCGCACGTCTAGGCTTTCACCGAAAAACCGCCCGCCCATAAGAGGTAGATATCAGATTGCTGTAATAAGTCGCTCTCGCTTATTAGATACCACGTCTTTCCTGTCCATCCAACCCAGGACCAGCTTGGAAAGTGGCAGCGCCTACTCATCCCGGATTCACTTGAAAAATTACATTGCGCTGTCCTGCGATGGTGTCGACCAGGGATAACATCCTTATCTGTTGAATAATCTTCCCAAGCTAGGACCGCCGATAGGAAAGGAGTAGGCAGGGCCCATATAAAATTATAACCAGATCGTCTCTTAAGATCATTAATAATCCCAGCTATCGCATTCAGACCATCTTCATCGAAAGAAAGGCGCAATTGCGTATAGTGCGAGACAAGTTGTCGATATAAATCGAAATTAAACTCATCGGATCGCCACAACGTTGCTAATCTATGATGATCCCAAAAGGATCTATCGCCCCAGCAGGCTTGGTAGAAATTTGGACTACCGGAGACCTCCCAAAAGCTGTCCTCCCGCCAAGTTGCTTCCTGACATTCCCAATATATCAGTTCTGGTGCGAAAATCAAGGCTCTTTTGCTAAATAGTCTTTCTTGAAGTGTCCACGCCCGAGTGCACCAAGCAGAGCTTGTAGTATAACTCCATCCCTCAGTGTCCTCTGGATCCAGGGTCGTCATAAATGTCGTAGCCCCAGTTTTAAATACTAAAGGCTGCATCTCCCTCGAAGAGACCTGGATACCAGGAAGCCCAGCTTCAGCGTTTGACCCCGAGGCACATATAATAGTGAGCAAAGCCTCTCCATAAATGAAACCCATTAAGGGAATATAAAGCTCCTTATCTGCATCGCTATCCTGCAGGATGCAGAGACTATCAACCCAAAGATATCGCTCTCCAAGAATTCTAGTAACAGTGATGGCGTCATCTATGGTTGCTGAAACAGCATCAGGTTTTATGGAGCCGTGTTCTCGATATTGGTCCAAGTTTTCGGAGGTAAGGACTAATTTGTTTGCATTTCCCCATACATAACTAAGGGCGACCCAGCGTTCACATTTTTGAACCTCGACGATACATTGGTCTTCCACGTCGATGAGCCGCAGACTGACTGAGAAAGTCTCTCTCTGGGCTGTAGAACAGAGGGCTCCATGCGCATTGAGACAGTGTTCCTTCCACATTCGTAGTAATCGACGGTCCGCATATTGTGGTCTAATTCGACCACCATATGGAAGCTGCTCAGTATTACTTGGTGTAAACAGAACCTTCGCGTCACACTGGTGTGCAACCTGTAGCTGCGTCGCGCTACAGCTTTGAAACCGGAAGGTCCTCGTTTGACGCGAGATCAAATTTGATACACTTTCTTCCAAGGACACATGCATCCGGGTCAGACTGGCCTTATGACGACCTCTTTGATCACGTTCCACGCTATAGAGTGTACTTTCTGTGTAGAAGTATTTAACGTGGTTAATGTCAATTGTAGAAGTTCCTTTTTGACGACCAAGGTAGCAGAGGCTTCGCGATAGGATGTGCTCGCACAGACGACAATGTGAAGAGCACTTCAAAAGGTCCTCGCCTGAGCGTGTTGACCAAAACCTTCCTATCGAGTCAAGATCAATTGGACTAGTGCTGGTCCTATCTTGATTCTCATCATCGCTAGCCTCGTTAAGCAACCCAACTTTTTCAAAAGGAACACCGGCGCAGAAGTCGCATAGCTCTACTAGTGTAGATTGCATGATTGTGGATCCGATCCTACACGTTGTTGAGGGATGACCGGGAGGAGTATTGTTAGACGTGGGACGTGTTATGGGACAGGCGATAGCTAATAAAATGGGCACGCCTTCGTCGCGATATTTTATATGTGATAGAAGATTGCTGCCTTAATGCTAAAATATCGTGGTGATAGACTAGTGAGATGAGTAGAAGGAGGTAGATGCGCGGCAAAGTGAAGAATGATTCCTGATGATGTCGCTGCGTAGAAAACTGATGTGCGACGGAAATAGGCGCAACGGCTGCACCGTCAGCGGAGCTGGGGCGAAGCCTTTGGTAGGCGGCTAGTCAGGCGGAACAACTGAGTCACCGTTGTTGTTCCAAGAAACGTTGTTGTTCCGAGACAACTTGAATGGCGTCTAATCCCTTGTTTGCAATTCGAGAGATTGGTAAAACAATTCATTGAAGTGCGTCTTTTTGAAATATAATAGAATGTGGAAAAAGCGAAGCTTTTCTATACTTCGACCTCTTATGCCCGCGAGCACGTGAAGCCATTCTATGAAGGAATCGATTCTACCACGTGTTGTAGGCGTTTCTGATTGGCCCAAAATCATCGACTTCTTATTAGTCCCTCAGGAAAGGCGACGGCACCTGCCCTCGCGATAAACTGCGCATCTCTCCTCCTCGACCATCTTATGTCTTGTCTACTTAATAGACTCAAGTTACTGCTCCTTGTGAAAAGAAGCTTCTTTTACATAGATTATATAAAAGGGTTTCCTAGCTTCCTAGAGAAGCGAGATGGAAATCACGTTATATACACAAAGTCACGTGCGCAGGCACCACGTGCCAAGCTCTAACGTCGGATGCAAGCTGTTACAATCTAGAGGTTGCCTATATCACTTCAGATCTCTTCTACTAGAATCCGCTGTGGCGTTTATCTAAATCCAATATGTGCTAGCTTAGTCCTTGAACGAACTTATACTATAACAGTAGAATATTATTTGTTATAGTGGCTAGATTTGATACCTTGGGAAAACTAATACTGGAGCGCTATATAGGTGAAAAATGTGCCATATCAGCCTTGACCGACGGCAGATTGTGGATGCAGAGAGGTATATTGAAACTATCTAATTGTAATCTCGCTTTGCGGGAGATAATCAAAATACTTTCTATGCGCATCTTCAAATGACCCAACACGTTCAAACGCTTCGTTCCCAGATGTTGCGAGAAGCAAGCCCATTAAAACGGTCTCTCTATGCACCAAGATAGGAAGACAGAAGACTAGCATTTGAGGCCAATCACCTGCTTCGTCATGATAGGCCTTGGCCATCGTATCCTCATTAGCACATTTATTGTCTTGTATCTGCTTCCAGCTACCTTTCCTAGACCCAACCAAATAAAGAGGCTCTCCAATCCTTAATATTTCATCGTCGTCACCGAGCCAGAACATATCATTATTTGAGGATTTAAACCACGCCTGCCTTAGTACACCTTTTAACGTTAAGGACCCAGCTAACACCTCACTAAAAGAGAAGTCTACCAACTACGGCTCGACATAACAGCTTATAAAGTCGCATCTATACAGACACTGTTCTTTATCAGTCTCTAGGAGACTTGTCCCGTAGGACAACTTACCATCAATTGATGCTCATGACCATGAAGGCGCTGGATACACCTCTGGCTAGTATTCATGGCCTCTGAGTCCCACGAGCACTAAGTGGCCTATGTAAGTTGCCGCAGAAGCGAGAATTCCCACAACCCGGCGAAATAGTGAGGGCCTAGACTAGGAGAGAACTCCCTAGCCACAGCCGAGATCGCGTTCAATTTGTCATAGGAAAGAGATGCGGAGCGCTTTGAATAGACATTCAATGGTCGTATCCATCTCTTCAATTTACCCTCTTAATTGGAAGCGGGTTTATTCAAAGTATAGAATAACTGAGAATCTTCCTCCTCCTCTGCGTAGGATATGACATGGAGGGAGTTTCCAAAGTTTCATACACCGGAATAACAGCGCCATTGTAAGGTGTGCGATGAATAGATCAGATGTTTATATGTATGCAGACTCTCTTGCAATGTCCAAGCCCCTTTGTTAATGGCTTCTAAAGATTCGTTATATTCCATTGCCTCTAGTTCCTGCACTGACATTGTCCCAAACTGGTTTTCAGAGAGACGAAACGGGAGAATGAAGGATTCTAAGCGCGTCTTCCGCGGTTGTAAGAACCTATGTGTGACCCCTTCGGAGTTTGCAGTGACGATAGTAACCAAAGAATCTCTATATACTCGCTACATCATAGACAATTCATGCGATTTATCATCGTCGGAATCTTGAAGTATGCACAAGGCGTCTACCCAAAGATAGGGAATGGATATGCTTTTAGTAACGGCGATAGCATCGCGAAGCGTCTGGGGAAGCGCATCCAAGCACAAGTCTTGGATATATTTATTCACGTTAGACTGGTTGAGTACTCCGTATGAGTTACTGCCCCAGCAGTACGAGAGAGTTGCATATCTTCCTTTCTTGCCGGCAGTGACAAGAAGTCGAGGTCTGTCGGAAGAGCCCGCAGGAGCTACCTCTATAACTCGTGTAGGGAGAATCGTTTCAACCTGCCCAGAACATTGTTTGTGATCGGCACATTCGGCAAGCCAGTGCTGAATCTGATTTCTTGATGGATCTGAATACACCTCAGTTTGAAGTTTTCGTGCTGTGACAAATGGAGCTGCAAGATTCGTGGGGTTGGTAAAAGCATGAAGCCTAAGAGCCCAGCCGAGGTCTCTAGCGCTTTTTTGGGTTACCCATTCCATGTTCAGGTAAAATGCGTTCTTCCCGGTAGGCGTGGAGTAATCTGCATGAAAATTGCAGAGATATATGGATAAAACATCGCCCGGATCCCTGGTTTCTTCTCCGCTCGACGTGAAAGCCCAGATGTACGAGCACCAGTTGCAGCCATTGCTTGCTGACTCATTTATCTGCTGCACGGTCATCTTGCAACTGATACCATTGTCACAGCGGGTACCCGCGCATCGACATAAGCAAAGGAGCTGGAACTGTTCTGCATTGAAGAAGTTTTGCCAACAGAAGCTACAGACTAGTTTTCTAGCGTCCCGCAGAGATGCCATATTGATTCCTCCGCTATTGAGGGCGATGGTGCAGTTGCGATATTGCACTTGACGCTGGAATTTCCGGTCGAGATTATTCTAGAGATGACGTGTTCCGAGAACAGTGGGCTCGAGCCACCGAAGGTGAGCCGAGGGTGATTACCGCCTGAGGAACCCTGTCGTTGCGGCACGCAAGAGGGGGTGTTTCTATTTTTAATTAAAATAAAATATTAAATATAATAAATATTATTAGTTTTCTATTAGATTTATAATAAAACTTTTATATAAAACTAATTTATAACTACTTTTATAAACTAG